GCCCAGCACCCACTGGAAGAGAGGTCCACCTTTGAACCAAATGAGTTATTTTGCTCCTTTCTCCCTACACCACAGCCAGTAACCAATATAAAATTTTGGTACAAAATAAGTGCATTCTCATGATTTCTTATTCCAACTCTCTCTGTTCATGTAATTTTCCAGGACATATTCTTTAAGTTTAGTATGTCTCATGAAAACATTCCAGGTCTTTTTGTGTATAAATAAGTATCACAATCTTTTTTTAAAAAAATTTTTTATATTCAAAGGCTGATTTACAGAGATAAGGCAAGACAAAGAGATCATTCATCAACTGGTTCATCCACCAAAGGGGCACAACAGCCAGAGCTGAGCTGATCAGCATCCAAAGCCAGGAGCCAGGAGCATCATCCAGGTCTCCCAAATAGGTAAAGAGGTCCAAGGACCTGGGCCATCCACTATTGTTATCCCAAGCTACAAGCAGGAAACTGCAAGGGAAGTGGAGCAGCCAGGACTAGAACCGGTGCCCACATGGGATGTCAGTGCCTATGGGAGGAGGGTTAGCCTGTTGAAACACAGTGCTGGTCCCCCACCCCCATTCCAAGTGTTAATTACTAAAATTATTTTTATCAAATATGCTCTCAGCTTATGAGATCTGTGAAGTCTGGTAAGGTTCTTCACCTTTATCAGCAAAATAGGAAAACTAACATGTCCCTTATGGAATTGTGGGAAAGGCTAGCACAGCAATGTGTGAGCCATGGTACCTGGCATAAGGTATCAATTGGGGATGGGTACTACCATTATTTCTCTTCACACATATAGCTAGATAGTAACTATTGTATGTCTAACATTCAGTGTATGTCAACAAATTATCTGTCAAAAATTATTACAAGAGAATGTGAAATAAAAGTCACATAAATTAATCCATGAAAAAAAAACGTATATGCTACCACTGTTTTTAAAATTCTGGCCTGGAAGACCTGGTCTTGTACCTTGCACATGCCAGGATCCCATATGGGTGTTGGTGGCCTGGGAAAGCATAGAGGACCACACAAAGCCTTGGGACCCTGCACCTGCGTGGGAGACCCAAAAGCTGCTCTTAACTCCTGGCTTCAGATTAGCTCAGCTGCAGCCATTGCGACCATTTGGGGAGTGAACCAGCAGATGGTAGATCTTTCTGTCTCCATCTCTCTGTAAATCTATTTAAAAAATAAATTAAAAAAAAAAATAGAAAGTCTAGCCTAAGTGGAGATACACTGCAGAATGCATCTCTGCTTCGTAATGAAAGCTTGACCCCCAATGAAACTGTTACATATATCTCAACACTACAATCCTGGACTTTACACCATTCTCTGTATCTACAATGTCAGGATACACAAAACTAGAAGAATAATGGACTTGCAACTGTTTTTGAGAGACTAAACTATTGCTACAATATAGGGGAAAACAGTGAAAGTCGGGGGAAGTGGAGAAGGATGGAAGGAGAAATCCCTGAGCCTGAGGAACTTTATCACAAAAATAAAAATTCTATCCTAGGGACCAATTCTGTGGCAAAACAAACCGATCCTCCACCTGTGGCATCAGCATCCCACATGGGCAATGATTCATGTCCCAGTTGTTCCACTTTCAATTCAGCTCTCTGCTTGAGGCCTGGGAAAGCACAGGATTATGGCCCAATCTCTTGTACCCTGTACCCATATAGCAGGCCCAGAAAGACACTAGGCTTCAGGGCCTGGCACAGTGGCCTAGTGTAGTGGTTAAAGTCCTCGTCTTGAATGTGCCAGGATCCCATGTGGATGTCGGTTCTGGTCTCAGAAGCCCCACTTCCCATCCAGCTCCCTGCTTGTGGCCTGAGAAGGCAGTCGAGGACAGCCTGGAGCCTTGGGATCCTGCACCCACGTCAGAGACCTGTAGGAGGTTCCTGGCTCCTAGCTTTGGATTGGCTTAGCACCGACTGTCACAGTCACTTGGGGAGTGAATCATCGAACAGAAGATGTTCCTCTCTGTCTCTCTTCCTCTTTGTATATTTGACTTTCCAATAAAAAGAAAATAAATCTTTAAAAAAAAAAAAACTGAGCTTCAGATCAGATCAGCTTAGCTCCAGCTGTTGGATCCATTTTCGGATTGAATCCAAGGGAAGAAAGATCTCTCTTTGGTCTTTCCTCCTAACTCTACCTTGCAAAAATAAGTAAGTAATAAACAAATACATAAATAAATAAATTCTAGCCTAAAATCTAAGCAAACTGCTCCCTGCCCTCCTACCATCTCCCAAACAGAAGAATCAGTGTCACCCAGAAATGAGATTTGTTACTTCAACAAGGATCTCGGACATTTTAAGAGCTATCCTAAAAGTACTGGATTCTAGACACATTTTCCCTAGCAAAATGTTTTGATGACGTTACCTTGAACTTACTTAATCTGATAGCCAGCTAGTAAAGAAAGGGCTAAAAACCATACCAGACACAAGACATAATAATACAATGTAAACACCGATTTGCAAAGCTAGGAGAGCAGCGCCAGCTCTTCACCTTTGGTTTCTGGGAATTTTCTTTCCAATCTACTTTTAAAAAAGCCCCAAATACAATAGCTTCCTTTCATAAGACTTTTTTTTTTATCTACAACACAAACACAACCCCCAAAGAGTATGCTAGTTCCGTTGACATTGGACCACATCCACGCATGCTTCCATAACTGACAGGACATTTCTATGGAATGTGAGGAAAGACATCAAGGGCAATCCTCCAGTGTTAAAGTGCACACCTCACTTGGGATTGCCCAGTATTAGCTTCAGTTACTTGCTTTTTTGATGGAAACATCTGTGACTTACTTCAAGTTAAGTCAAACCTTCAACATTACCAAAAACCCTATGTAATCCCTACCCAGCTTTTTTTTAAAGTCCATTAACCATTTTAATAGGCAACTAAGGATGTTATTATAAAGAGGTTGAAAATTATCATAAGCCTACTAAAACTCAAGAAAGAGGAAAGCGTCTTCAGAGTGGGAATTCCTCGTTTTTGGCTCTTGTCACCGATTTTAGAGAACACATCAGGTATTCAGAAATGACAGGTGCCAGGAAGGACAGGGATACTAGTACCCTTGTGTGCCCTACCTCCCACCACCACTGAAAAGAATGAGCCTGCTCAATGGCCTACTATGCCTCTTCCCACATAACACAAAAGACATACCTATTTAGTTAGAGAAAGAATTGTTAAGTTTTAAACAAACATGCAGATGAAACACTATCTTAAGCAACGGAAGTACTGAGAACTGGAAAGACCAATCTTCCAGGTCAAAATGAGACGTGACCTATAGTTGCATTATCAACGATGTTCTACAAAAATCCAAAGGCAATTAGCCAGGCACAAGACCATCCTTTTAACAAATGGTGTGAAGACAACTGGGATGTCAGTAAAGCAAAACAGAACCTCAATTGTGACCTCAAACTATATACAAAAAATTATCTCCAAATGGATCAGAAACCTGCATAAAAGAGGTGAAACTATTAATAATGAGAACATTATCACATTTTGAATCAAGGAAAGACTTCTTACACAGTATATCTAAAAGCATAATTACAAAAGACAAATAAAATGGATTTCAACAGAGTATATATTGCTGTTCTTCAAAAGAAATGGTTAAGAACACAAAAAGGGTACTACACTCCAAAACATACACTGGATAAAGGGCTTGTATTTTCATTTACTTAATGAACTATCACAACTTAACCCAAGGAACCATAACACAAATAACCCAACTGAAAATGTGGTTCAGTAAGTTATGCTACCACTTGGGACATCCACGTCTCATACCAAGTCCAGCTGTGTTGCACATCCTACTCAGCATCCTGCTAACATGCCTCGGAGACAACAGATAAAGGTCCAAACACTTGGGTCCCTGACATCCCTGTAGGAGATTGGGACAGTTCCAGACTCCTGGCTTCAGCTTGGCCCTGCCTTGGCTGTTGCAGCCATTTGGACAGTGAACCAGGGAAATGGAAGATCTCCCTCATTCTGCCTTCCCATCTCTGTCACTCTGCCTTTCAAATAAATCAATCAATCATTTCTAAACCATGAAAAAGGTTTGACTAGAGTCTTCATAAAAGAAATTATAGAGGGAAAAAGGTGCATGAAAACACCATTCAACATCGCTAGGCATCAGGGAAAGGCAAATTCAAACCAGAATCAAATACCACTACATAGCTACTAAAAAAAAAAAAAAAAATAGTTAAAGGGACTGACAGGAAGTTTTGGCAAGGGTGTGGAAACAGAAATCCTCATACAATGATGGAAAGAGTGAAAACAATATAGCCACTTTGAAACACTTTATGACAGTACTTTATAAAGTTAAACATCCATTTACCACATGGCCCAGCAATTTCAGACCCAGATATTTACCCAAGAGAAATTAAAGCCTGTGTCCACATGAAGATACATACATGAATGTTCATAGAGGGTTATTCACAATAGCCTCAAACTGGAAGCAATCAAATGCCATCAACTGACGAAAAGCTAAGTAAATAGTGGTGTACACTTTACAGGGACCACTACTCAGCAATCTTAGTAAATTATTAATACACCCTACAATATAAATGACTCTCAGTGGTGTGCTAAGTGAAGAAAGACAACATCCACTCCATTTGTATGAACTTCCACAGAAGGCAAAACCATAGTGGCAAAGTAGAGTGGTCCTTAAGAAGTCTAAGGGAAGAGGCCTTCAAATGCAAGAAGGTTCAAGGACACTTTTGGGGTGTGGGAAAATTCTATTACCTTGATGCAGATGTGGGGTACCCAGTTGTATAAAATAAATGAAATGCTCAAACTGTGACTTGAAAACGAGCAAGAAAAGATGATGATCTTGGCAAGGTCTCTGGATACCTGGCAAGAATATGCTGTCTGTGCTTGGAAGGTACAAAGATTCTAAACTGATGGGTTCAACTGTTTAAGACACTTAAAAAGCAATTAGAAACTACACTGCGCTGGGAGTCATAAGGCCAGATCCAGACAGCTCAGCAAGTGGGGACTCACCTCGGTTCCCCCGTCCTTGAAGCTCTCACTGTAGGTGCTGTCGGGCGTGCTGGGCTGGTCGTCCTTGAGGTAGTTGCTATGAGTGGCGATGGCAGGCACATCATACTGAGTCTGTTCAAAGATGACCACGCGCTGCTCCTCACCATCTCCCCGCGGATAATGCGCAGGCGAAGTCATGAACACGGGCGTGAAATCCTCAGCTTTTACCACAGTGATTCCAGATACAGGGATGACGGCTGGGCTCTCAGCGACGTTGGCGCTGTACTGGTCCCGCTTGGAGTTCTCCAAGTGGTCTTGGTTAAGGCAAAGGTTCACTGGCACAGTCTTTAGGATCTGCACTCGGTTCTCTCCTCCAATCAAATTGCTCTGGGCCTCACTGGGGCCAAGACAGCTTCTGTGAATTCAAACCAGGCCATCCCGCAACACAGCAAAATTAGAAAAAAATCTCCACTGTGTAACTCCTAACACCGTAACTAACTCAGGCAGTCACTGTGGTTGCTGATGTCATTAGGGAAATATCTGGAAACTTCCCTATATAATACTATGGAGCTTTACATCACGAGTTGGACATCTGTTCATGCTTGTCCCCTGGTTCAGGCAAGGTATAGTACTCGCCCCATTGTCCATTACAAACATTGGCCTCAGAGCTAAGTTTCAGCTCGCAAGAAATACGGTAGGAGCTTAAAGAACAACTTTAAAAAACATGCTGAAAAAGCAACCAGACAGGGCCCGCGCGGTAGCATAGCAACTAAAGTCCTCACCTTGAACTCGCCCGGGATCCCATACAGTCACCGGTTCTTATCCCAGAGGCCCCGCTTCCCTTTCCAGTTCCCTGCCTGTGGCCTGGGAAAGCAGTCGAAGACCGCCTAAAGCCTTGGGACCCTGCACCCACATGGGAGACCCAGAGGAAGCTCCGGGCTCCTGGATTGGCTCAGCTCCCACTGTTGCCACCGCTTTAGCAGTCCTTCCTCTCTGTCTCTCCTCCTCTCTGTATATCTATCTGCCTTTCCAATAAAATAAATAAATCTTTTTAAAAATTCAATCAAATAAATCAGATTGTAGCATAGAATACTGGCCTAACCTCCCAAACAAGTCAAGACATGAAGAGGAGAAAGGATAGGAAGGTTTTAGGTTGAGATTTTAGATCCATAGCAAATGGGGTAAGCTTGTGTCAGGATCCCAACCTGAACAAACCAAAGAAGTAATTCAAGAAACAGTGGAATTATTGAGGCAATTGAACACGGACTGAGACTTGAGTGACATTAATAATGTATTCTCAGTTCAGTTAGATGTGGTGATGATTTTGAGCTTACACAACAAAACGTTCCCGTTTTTAGAGACAAATACCATAAGCAGTTTGAGGCAAAACAATGTGAAGTTAGAAATTTATGTTACATGCCATAGCAATTTTAAAAAGTGAATGAGAAAAAAAAAAGTGAATGAGAAGATATCAAGCAGGTATAACAAAAATTTTAATCAATGTTTAACTGGAGGATAGGATGGATATTTGAGGCTCCGTTATACTAACCCCTGTATATCTATGTATATTTGAAAACTTGCTATTAAAAAAAAAAAAAAAAGGAAAGACAGAAAAAACATGAGTTCAAATTTCCCTCTACTGGTTTACTCCCCAAATGCCCAGAACAGCTGGAGCTGGACCAGGTTATAGCAGAAGTCAGGAAGTATACCTGAGTCGCCCACATGAGTGCCAGAAAAGCAAATACTTAGACCCTTTCCTGCTGCCTCCCAGGTGTGTTAGAAAGGAGCTGGATGAGAAAAGGAGGAGATTGGAAAGAGGCGGTCTGAAATGGGATGTGGTCAGCTGCAGCAGTGGCCAAGCCTGTGACACCACAATGCATGCCACTAGTTTTGATTTTGCTGATAACACTTCACTGTGAAGCTTGAGCATGAGTGGTTCCACATGATAAATGTCTAAACTTCTGAGTTGATCACAGAACTGAAAATATAGTTCTATAATATAGCTCTCTCAACTTTACGAATATTCTGGTTTTACATAATAACCCATTTTCATGGCCAAATCAATAGAATGAATCTGGATACAGGCTAAAAATACAGAAGGTGAATTTAATCTAAACCCAGTTAGCTGGAAGATGGCAAAACCCAGAGCAAAAGGTTAACATTCCTCAAAAAAATAAATCAAAGTCCATGACAAAAACCATATTAAAAATGAATAAATAAAAATGTACTGCCATAATAATATTACCCCAAGGGGCTCACCATGATTCTGACACAGTAGACCCTTTCAGGGAGGAAGTAGCTCTTAATACCTGTGGGAGTTTATGTGTTGGTCCACATTGATTTGCTACCAAATTAATCCTCTCTGGCCTTTGCACGCACATAATCGTATTTGCTTCACCAAACCACTCAAACTGAAGCTACATAAAGTCTGTGTTAGGCCAAGGACACATGTTTGTGCTAGTAGTTGTACAGGTTGAAACACCCATATCCCACAATGAAGTACTTAGTTCAGTGTCCATCTTACTTCCTAATCTCAAATGCCCGTGAATGGTAGAACTTGGGAGGCAGCATCAACAGCTCAAGTGATTGGGTTCCTTGTACTGACAGGATTGGGTCTCCTGGATCCCAGAGCTGGCCTTACCCAGCCCCTGCTATTGCAAATAATTAGTGAGTAGGCTAGCCGATGAGAACTACCCTTTCTCTTTGTCTGCCTCTTGAAGAAAAATATTTTTTTGAAAGCATGATTTCTAAACAAAAACCCAAGTCAAAAGTATTTTGATATTCTTATAAAATAAGCTGTAAAGTTGTATAAATTTCATAAACTGTTATCACTATAAGCTCAGAAGATAAGAGCTTTAACATGACCCTAACATGTATACTATGCCTCTGTAAAAGAGTATTAGTTTTAGAGGATATTTTCAGAGAACCTAAGAAAATTGGATAATAAGAGTAAGGCCACAACTATTCTAAGATATTGACTCACCCGCGATAGAACTTACTAGTGAACCAAATAGTAGAAAAATATTATAGAAAAAATACCCACAGTGAGTTTCTGGCCCAACAGTTAAGACACTACCTGGCACCCCTTGAAATAACTGGGGTCAAATTGTAGTCCCATTTCTCATTCCAGCTTCCTGCTAATGGGGGAACCCTAGGAAGCAGCAGGCGATGGCTGAATACTCGAGTACCTGCCACCACGTGAGAAACGTACTCTGTAGAAGTCACCCCCCAAAATTCACTCAAATACAGTATTATCATTGTGTTAGTGTTCTGAAAGGTACTTTAACAAAAGTGGGCCTTTTTTGTCTATACTGTACAATGCAGGCAGAGCAACAATCTAGATGCACATTGCTCTGAGGCCCTTGTGATTACCAGCATTGGACTTGGCAAGCAGCACCAACTGAGCTCAATTAAACAGGCTAGATCAAGGAAACATTCCAGTAACTGAAAAGTAGCAGCCTCGTGCTCCCTCTTATCATCCTGCCCACGAGGTCCTAGGACCCTGGGGTAGCATGGTGTTTCAGAAGATCCCAACATAATAGCCAGTGAGATGCCAACAGCTTTAACCTTCTCCTGGGGGCATCCCTTGGAACAGATGCAGAGCCTAGTCCAGGACATACCATCACAGGCAGCTCCAAGAGGACCAGGCAGGATTCAGAGGTCTGTGCTAACAGGAGCATTCTGCCTCCTGGCTTATTATTTCCATGTCAAAGAGCCTCCCACAGGAAACCCATGACTTTTCTCTATCCCAAGGCAAGGGAAGAGATTGATTTGCCAGTAACTTTGGGGGAAGGAGCTAGTTAGAGTGGTTCAGTCCTTTCTGGTTTCATCTTTTTTGTCTGAATCACCCTAAACTAGGAGAGGAACATGAACATGCTGCACCATGAGTGGTGTGGAGTCATGGCTGGGACTAGCTGGGTGGACTTATCCAAGTCAGGGCTGAAACAGTACAAGCTGTAGGCTCCAAATCACCTTCTCCAATTAGTTGAGAAATGAACTTTGTTTTCCCTTCTAATCTCAATGAACCTGGGTCTTATTTGCCACCTAGCTCTTGACTCAGGAGAGACAAAAAGGGATATGACCCATGATCTCCAAATGCCTTTCCTGACATTGCCTCTTGATTGCATGGGACCACTCACAGCCTCTACCAGCAGCCTCCTGTGCTGAGACACAGTCCCACCTTCTTCTCCTCCCTGTCATCAAAACCGGTCCTGCAGGTATCTCACTGTCCCCAAGGCATGATCACAGTAACAGAACCAAAAGATTCATCAGAAAAGTTAATGCCAGCCAGCAGCAGCTATTTTGCAGGCTATCACCTCTAATTCCTGAGATGTTTGAAGACTCCTTGGAAGGGGTTGTCTTATGAGAGAGAGAATGAGATCAGTATCTTATGAGTGAGAGAGAGAGAAAGAGAGACAGAGAGACAGAGACAGAGAATGAGATATATATAACTCCAACCCAGATTCCCAAAAACAAAGGATCCTTGCTAAACTCCATGAGTTCATCTCTTCCAAACAAGACACAGCTTGATGCCATTTTTTAAAACAGAAAAAGGTATTCCAGGGCCCCAACACTGACATCCATCGTACCTTTTATCCTGGTCTTCTTGGCTGTCACTGGCTTTGCTTACAGGCAGCAGTCGCTTGTCTCGAGGAACCTGGAAATATCACCAACCATCAGTCAGGGAGGAAACAACCCAAGTGCTCACCAATCAAATGGAGAAACACTATCTGTCTATTTGTACACTGATATGTTACTCAAAGGAATAAAATTCTAACATGTGTTCTAAGGTAGATGATGAACTTTGAAAGCATTTGGTTAAGTAGTTTCACTGACAGGAGGTACCCAAAGTGGCCAAATGCGTACAGACAAAAGGTAGGAGAGAGATTCCCAGGAGCAGAGAAACAAAAAGAATGAGGAGTGACTACTTCAGGCCGACAGAGTTTCTGTTTGGGAAGGAGTGTGTAGGAAATGGTATGTGAAAAGCAGAACCAAAGAGATAAAAATTCAAACCCTAAAGCATGTCAGCAACTCCCCCAAAGACCTATAGAAGTGAATGTCATTGTTCCCAAGAGTCCCTGATAGGAACTCTGAGCTTCCGCTACAGCACTGAGCACAAAGAAAGGTATGACTCACCTTCTGCTTTGCTCCAACCTGGGCCTCTCTAAACCACGTGAGCCTTTGACGTCATACACTCTGTAGAGAAACAGAGAGCCCTCTCCTGGAACTAGCTCATCCCTCTGGAGTCTTAGACCCAGACACTCCTAGTTGGATAATCTGTCTCTCCTCTGTGTTACTCTACCTTTTGAGTAAAATACATCTTTAAAAAAACAAAGCAAAACAAAACAAAAAAACAGCTATCCAGCTCCTAGGAATATATCCGATTGAAATCTGCGTATCAGAAGGGGATCTGCAATCCTATATTTGCAGCAGCACAATCTACAATAGCAAAGACATGGAACCAATCCAGATGTGCGTCCAAAGAAGAGTAGTTAAAGAAATTGTGGCATATCTACTCCGTGGAATATTATTCAGCTATTAAGAAGAATGAAATAATACTATTTACAACCAGGTGATCCCAACTAGAGACCAACATGCTCAGTGAAATGAGTCAGTCACAAAAGAACAAATACCGTGTGTTCTCTAATATAAGAAAATCACCATGGAAAAAGTAGCTTCAATAATCCAATTCATACTGTTTTGCTTTGTTTTTTGTTTTGCTGCATTCCATGTGTTTTGATGTTTTTTATTTCAGTTTTATTTATTCCAAAGACTTTTTTCTCTTGTCGAATTCATTGCTGGCTCAGGGATTACACGGTGGCATCATTTTTCCCAAGAGACTTTTGTGTTTCCTTTTTGTCACCCATGTGTTGGTTACTCAGTGGTGCGTTTTTTCTTGGTGCTATAATTTGTTTTTGTCATTGTTGTTGTTGTTGTGGTTGTTCTAACTCATACCAGTTGTTGACCTTATTTCATGGCTTTCTAATTATGAAAATGTATGTAGTAATAGAGTACTGGGGTCCACCAGATCCAGATGTGGGGATATAATGCAACATTCATTCCTGCTTCCAGATGAAAAATGGATTCCCAACGAATGTTGGAAATGTGTATACAATGGGATGCTGGACTGTCTGACATTGCCTGTACCAGCAATGTCAGGGTACACTTAAATAAGAGACTGATGGAATTGGGATTCTTTATGAAGGACTATACCGTTGTAGTAAAATGGAGAAAATCTGTCGGGGGTGGGAGTTTTGTGGGGGGGAAACCCCAGTCTGTACAAAATTGTACCACATAAATCAAAAATTCAAAATAAAATATATGTTTTAAAAAAAAAAAAACCTCAAGAGGTATCTTTTGCCATCCTAACCAGGCCCAACCTCTCATCCCCTCACTCGCCCTCCCCAGTCCAAGATTTTTGATTACCTGAATCCTAAGGAGTGCAGACTGAGGTTTTATATCACTTTGTTCAATTTCCTATTCCCCTTGCCTGAAATCTTCTCTCCTTATTTGTTCACCTGATAGACATTATTCTGCTCTGGGAGAGTAGGTGTTGTTTCCTTGGGAAAGCCAGTGTGGATTCCATGGGAAATTTTCAGTGCTCCTGGAACACACCCTGTCACAGTCCTGTCCCTCCACATATGATGGTAATGTTTATGTCATCATGCTTGTCCTGCACTTTGACTCTGTGGCTTCTCTGAGCTATAGGACTACAACAGACCCCCACAATATCTATCACCATTAGTGGAAGGTCATAGCTAATTAATTTGATGAATGGATGGCTGGATGGATGGACACATCAATGTACCAGTGTCCAGCAACACCAGGTCAGCAGCGCTAATACTAACCAAGCAACTAGGGATATGCACTTTCAATAGAACTTAAACCAGATATTCTCAAGGGAAGAGGAAAACGAAGTAAGTTGCCATGATGTCGGTGTGTACCCCCACAGAATTGTGTTGGAAATTTCATTCCCAGGTTCATCTTAATGACATCTGGGATTAGAATCTTTGGAGGCAATCAGCAGTAGAAGAGATGATGAGAGCAGGTACTAAGACAGCCAAGACAGTGCACTTGCTAACTTACTATAAATTCTTAAAAATCTCATTGAATTAATGAGCATACTGTTTCAAATGTGAATTTTAAAAAATGGAACCATTTTCAAGTGGGTTCAAGCAAGGACATTCATTAAATGGTGGCCACTACAATGAAATGGAGTCTAGGAAATATACAAAAGAATTGTCCTCTACTCTAGGGGAAATGCCACTTGGTTGCCTGCATTATAAAGTGTAAGAGCTATTGAGCTGCACTGCCTTAGTCCTGTAGACAGCTTAAAGATGACAGTAAAAGACTTTGGAATTTATAAAATGTTGTTCAAGAAAAAGGTTTCTAAGTGATCACATCAAGATAGTTCTGGGAAACGATTGATTCTTTCCACAGACACCAAGCTACCTCAAGTTAAAAAAAAATAAAACTTTGTATGAGAGAAGGCATCATAAATCTACTAGTGCAAAATCATGGGAAACACGCATTCAGCATGGAGAGTTAGGAACTTGGTTGGCTACAACTTGAATTTTAAACTCTCTACTTGTATCTCAGATTGTTTACAGGAACCTGTATTTCAATTTTCCTTTGAATGTTGGCAAATATGCAAGAGGAGAGGCAATCTAGGTACAGCACTTACTAATACTTAATGATGTTTACTAATATTTAATCAGCCTCTGTACTTATGGGAAATAAAATATATTGCTTTCACCAATTACCATTTATTTTTATTTTGGAGTATGTTTCTCTTTTATACAGATACCAAAAAAAACTGCTATCAAATACTAACACTTAAAATTATATCCTTTTTACAATGACAGAATAAAATTTGATTTTCCTCAGGATATTAATAGATTTCTTTAAAGCTTTTTTTTAAAGTAACTCACAAATTCATTTAACAGATAAAATTACAAACAGATCATAATGATCAAGATGACTTAATCAGGTTACTTGATGTACTAATGAAGATGAATAAAACTGTCAGATGCACTTTTCTTATCATAAAACTTACTTTTTACTTTCATGCCAAACAGGAGACTCTCTGATACACATAAGAAAGAAGTTAAGCACTCAACAAATGGCCAAAGGCATGCAGCAGGTTAATTTGAAGAGTTCTGGATCACACTCAGTAAACCTTGAAGCTTTTCATCCCAAAACATTTAGAATTGAGGTTTTCAAATGAGATCCTCAGTTAGAAAAAAATGAACAATGAAAAGGAAAAAAACAGAATCATAAGCAAAGCCTACTATGAAAGACCTTTGGGACATGAGAACTGGGGGAAGGGGGAAGGGAAATCCCAGAGCCTGTGGAATTGTATCATAAGATAAAAAATAAAATTAAATTTAAAAACAAACAAAAAAAAAGCTTTGGCTTCATGTTAATTTTCTTCATTGTTCCTCTGGCTGAGTCTTGCTACCTGAACTGCTGCCAGGGCAACTCCTTTCATCTGGAGTTTAGGGCCTCCAAGGTCAAGGCCAATCCCAGGAGCCCTGCTGGGATTTCACACCTTCCTGACAGGGCTGTCAAAGCTGTTAACCCTGTCATTCTTGGTAAAGGTTTGGCAAAGTCAGCCTGGACCAGCACGGGGACCCTCATACATATCCCATGACATTCTCCAGCACCAACAATAAATGTATTACTCAGGGCTCGGGGCGGTGACGCAAGTGGTTAAGGTCCTCGCCTTGCACGCCCGGGATCCCATATGGGCGCTGGTTCTAATCCCGGCAGCCCCGCTTCCCTTCCAGCTCCCCGTGTGGGAGACCTGGAAGAGGCTCCTGGCTTCAGATTGGCTCAGCTCCAGCCATTGCGCTCACTTGGGGAGTGAATCATCGGACGGAAGATCTTCCTCTCTGTCTCTCCTCTCTGTATATCCGCCTTTCCAATAAAAAAATAATAAAAATAAATCTTTTAAAAAAAATGTATTACTCAGTAAGTTAATAATGGCCAAGTTTAAAATGGATAGGCCTGTCTGCGCCCTTATACCTGTCACTCACATTTTTCTGTTAGTGTAAGATCTATTGATTAAAAAACAAAAAAGACCTACTTGATTTTCATTTTTCTCCTCAAAGAAGGAGCCCTCCTGGATACTTTAATGGGGGGAAATAAAAAAAAAAATGAGAAGTTGGAAAAGGGGGCCTGGCACAGTAGCCTAGTAGCTACATTCCTCGTCTTGCATGTGCTGGGATCCTATATGGGTACCAGTTTGTGTCCTGGCAGGCCCCACTTCCCATCCAGCTCCCTGTTTCTGCCCTGGGAAAGCAGTCGAGGACAGCCCAAGCTCTTGGGACCCTGAGCCTGCATGGGAGACTCAGAGGAGGTTCCTGGCTCCTGGCTCTGGCTCCAGATCAGTACAGCTCTGGCTGTTGTGGCTGCTTGGGGAGTGAATCAGATGGAAAATCTTCCTCTCTGTCTCTCCTCTCTGTATATCTGACTTTCCCATTAAAGAAATAAATAAAATAAATTTTAAAAAAAGAGAAGTTGGAAGAGGAGTCATTTCAGAAAACTTAGCAGAAGGGAGATCCAGAGGCAGTGTCAGAGCTGGTGATAGTGGGAAAGGTTTATAAAATATGAAAACTCCTGTTTAAGTATGAGAAAGGAGGCAGAAAACCCGCCCAGAGGATGCAGTTGGGAGGAAACAGGAATCAGAGAATGAAGATCAGCAAAACGGAACCTGCCTCTCGGATTGTTTTTCTCAAAATGTCTTTTTCCCCTTTGGCAGTGGGGAAAATGTACAACCAGGGAAACTCAATACAGCCATTCTCACCTTCGTGCCAATGCACAGCACAAGCCGAAGGCGTTTACAACCAAAGCCAGGCAATCGATCGCACCTGATAAATCCTGTGGGGGCGTTTACACGTCAGCGGTTCTAGGGAAGCAGGTACACCTGCTTGCTTGGCTTCCTGAAGGGAAGGCCCCAGAGGCCAGGAAGAGGCGGAAGCAGGGCAGGGGCACCCACCTTGTAGTAGTCGTAAAGCAGGCCAAGGGCAGCCGCACTGTCTTCATCCCCGTTGATGCTCATCATGGCCTTGGTGGCCGCTGTCAGGGGGTTCTCCAAGTATGACTTCCAGGCCTCATCCTCACTGGTGTAGGCTCTTCGGGTATTGAATGGAGGGTCACCAGGCATGGGCACCAGGGCCACCAGTCTTTTATTACTGTCCAACAAAGAGAAAGGAGAAGTTCAGAGAAACAGTGTTTCAAGAGCGCTCATTTATATTTCTCTAGAATGCCAGAGAAACAAGAGAAGACCAAAATTAAAGTGATGGCCCCACTGCATTTTAAAAAAAACTGATTTTTACATTTTCAATCTCTACGAGATTTACTCATAGTCTATAAAGTCAGAATATGTATTGTAGGTTGGCACTGCAAACAATGGACCCTCAAAAATGTCATAATTAGAATTTGATTGTCATGATAATACAGAGGAGGTAAGAACTTTAGGGGATGAGGATGGCGTCCACTACCTGAGCTGATGCAGTTACCACAAGAGTCGGTTTGCTTTCTTCCTGCTCACTCCCTTTTGCCATCTCTTTCAATTTCTGCCTTCTGCTGTCTATCATGAGACGGCACAGCAAGACGCCTCCCATTGCATGCTGTCCTAGACCGTGGTCATACCAATCTCCAGCTCCTGAAGTCAATACACTTCTGTTCAACTAGTCAGGCGCAGGTATTCTGGTAGAGGAGCAGAAAACAAACTAAGACAGTTGGTCTCTCTGAAATGTGCTATCCCATGTCCAATCATTCTAGGGGTCAAGTCATTTTCTGTAATTACTCTTCGTTAATGAATATGAGAATAGAGCCCTGTGAGACAGCAGGCTTGATTTAACTTTCTGAAGTCTCATTATAAATGTTTAATACATTAAATGTGATCAATAGATTAATGATTATGAAAGCCATATTATTTAGCTTTATCTATCCTTAAAATTGTCAGCAAACTCAAGAGCAGGCAAAATCTTTTAATTAAAAAGGTCAAGGTAAGCTAGTAGGTAAACACAACATGTTACAGATAATATTGTGTAGTAAGGTTATGGAGCAAGAGTAACAGGAGACTGCATACAAATTCTGAGCCGCTAAAGGAATCTACATTTCAACGACACAGAAGCTACAAAGATAAAGATTTTCAGGGAGTGCGGGGATTATATCTACAGAATCTTCAGTAGAGATAGAAAGCAGTTGTTGTACAAAGGTATAAAGTGAGCAATTAACAATCTTAAAATGAGTGTGATAACGACTATAATATCTGAAGACCATGACAATCGCCTGCAGCTCAGCAAGATGGGACTCCAGGTGTTGGAGGAAAAAAAAACAAGCCAACAAAAACCCTCTCTTGAACCTCTTTTCCTTGTAATAGAATCAAAATGGAATGAGACATTGTATTTCAGAAACGCTTATGTCAACACACAGCAATAGGACACAGACTGTGACCAAGCTGGTGATTTGGCATCAACACTAAGCAATGGAAATCCAGCCCACCAAGGCCTTCTGACAGGCACAGAGTTAGAAAAGAGCCCCCTCCTTGCTAACCCTCTCACAGGATCTTGCAGGATCCCTTGGGTTACTTCCAATGGCTTCTCAGACAACTGGTGTGGACTCCTGAGGACTATGCTAGAAGCCCCACTCTTGATGAGCCCTTTGTGTGTTGACATGGCGCCAGGCATTGCTGCAGGTCTGAAAACACCCTTGGCAATGCCAAGAGTCAGAGACAGGGTGCAGTACGTGGGACACACTTATTTTACACTGTGGGATCCTAGGCTAACTGGTGTCTCAGGGCTCCAATTTGGGTTCCCACAGCAGTGGAACTGACTGAGACCAAGGATGGTCTAATGACTCAAATGCAAAGGAATTGAATGAAAAGGTATAGTCAGGCTTCTTGGATTAAAAGGGAAGTTTTTTGATCAAAGGGTTTACCAACCATTGAGCCACACAGTAACAGCTGGTTGCACCATCAGGGATGGAAAGTTGAGTGGATATCCGAGTTCCAGTTTCTCCTGCCTCAAGTACTAATTAGCAACGTCCCCTCTGCTTACTTCACAATGTGATTGTGAGGATCAAATGACTGAGAACATAGTCATCTATAAACCGCACAGTACCATGCAAATATCAAGCCCTCCCACTGGCCATTTCTAATGTTCCTATAAAGCTTGTGGGTGGAGCTGATTAAATTCAAAAGTGCTAAAGACAGTCACCATAAAGGGAAATGAAGTGGTTTATGCAGTAATATTCAACAAGCAATGAGAGGCCAGCTGTGTGCCATGAAGGACGCAGTGGTGAATGAGACCGACTCTGTGCCTCACCATGCAGCCAGTGGCAGAGCAGGAGACAGAGGACTGCTAGTCCACCAGCCAGGAAGCCACAAAGGGGTCAGTCCAAGCAGAGCTTGAATCCAAGTCTCTACCCAGATTTAACCAATAAGCAAGAACGCACTGGTCAATGCTGAAGTGAGAGGAGCAGAACTGTGCATCTTAAAGTGAACTGTGCATCCTTTTCTTGCAAAAGGAATGTGTGTTCATCCTGGAAAGATCACTGGAGAAATTTATGTTCCCAGATAACAACAAAACAGCATCTGAGGTTGTAGAACTCACTAGCCATATGGAGTATAGAGTTCAATTTAGAAATAAGAAATGGTCATAGAGTCCTAGGAGTCCAGGAAGAGGAGAAATGGGGCTACTGGGAGAAGCTAAGAGAACTGAGGTCGGGGTTCCGACTGGGATGGTACCACCTCTCCCCATAGTTGTTCCATTGTGGCCAGGTCTGTGACCATTACAGAGTGAAACAGAAGATTCTGAGATCCTGCCAGGGCCCAGGAAAGACCAAGCAGGGTGCACACTTCCTATAAAGCTGATCCCACAGGAAAGAAGAACTTTGTATCTAGTGAAATGGTCATTGAAAAACACATGATTTAGGGAGAGGAATGAATTCCTACACCTATCATGTATCTTAGAAAACAATTTTTAAAACTTTTTTAATTAACAGAAACAATCAAATCATTAATAACATCACTCATTAAAAATATCACGAGATTTGATTCTCTAATGCCAGAGAAAGTATCTTCAAAGCACCCATGTCAACTTCTTAGTGAAGTGAAACTATATCATATCCATATCATATCATGCTAACCTCTGGGTAATGGATAAAGAAACAATACTATCTTAGCCAGTATGGAGTAGGGCAAGCAAGATAAAAACTAAGTTCTTGGGCCCGGCGGCGTGGCCAAGTGGCTAAAGCCCTCGCCTTGAACGCACTGGGATCCCGTATGGATGCCAGTTCTAATCCTGGCAGCTCCCCTTCCAATCCAACTCCCTGCCTGTGGCCTGGGAAAGCAGTTGAGGATGGCCCAAGGCCTTGCGACTCTGCACCCATGTGGGAGACCTGGAGGAGGTTCCTGGATCCTGGCTTCGAATCGGCATAGCATCGGCTGTTGTGGTCACTTGGGGAGTGAATCATCGGATGGAAGATCTTCCTCTCTGTCTCTCCTCCTCCTCTCTGTATATCTGACTTTCCAATAAAAACAAATCTTTAAAAAAAAAAAACTAAAAACTAAGTTTTAGACTTTCTGAATATCTGATATAAGAGCAAATGATTAACCTGTCAAATCCAAAAAGTTAAGGGACAGAAAACCGCTTGTGCTAGTTGGACATTTATGTGTGCCTCATTATACAATAAAACCTCAGGGGAATTGTTCACCAGAAGACTGGAGTGTAGCACTGTGGTTAAGTCCAGGCTTAATAAGCCACCTCCCATATCCAAGTGCCTGGTTTGAGACCTGGTTCCTCTTCTGATCCAGATGCCTGCTAACATGCACAATGGGAAGCAGCAGGGGATGCCTCAAGTTCTGGAATTCCTGCCACCCATGGGAGAGATCAGGATAGCTCCTGGCTTCAGCTGGCCCAGCCCTGATTACTGCAAGCATTTGGGGACTCAGCGAATTGCCTATCTTTTGTCTTTTTGTGGTCACTCTCATACCTTACAAATAAAATGCTAATAAAGTTTTCTAAAAGTTCATGGGGAAAGAATGTAATGAAATTATGGACTTCAATTTTTTTTCTGCACCAAGTTAAACTTTTTAAATTTCATTTTTTAATTTAATTTAATTTTAATTTTGTTTAATTTTTGCTTAATACTTATTTTATCTGAAAGAGAGTTACAGGGGCCCAATGCAATAGCATAGCAGTTAAAGTCCTTGCCTTGAATGCATGCACCAGGGATCCCATATGGGCATATGGGCACCGGTTCTAATCCCTGCAGCCTCGCTTCCCATCCAGCTCCCTGCCTGTGGCCTGCGAAAGCAGCTGTGGATGGCCCAAAGCTTTGGGACCCTGCATCCGCATGGGAAACCGGAAGGAAGCTCCTGGCTTCCGGCTTCCATGAGGCTCAGCTCCAACCATTGCAGCCACTTAGGGAATGAACCATTGGACAGAAGATCTTCCTCTCCATCTCTCCTCCTCTCTGTATATCTGTCTTTCCAATAAAAACAAATATAAATTTAAAAAAAGAAAGAGTTACAGATAGAAAGACAGGGAGAGTTATCTTCTATGTGTTGGTTTACTCCCCAGATAGCTGCCAGCAGATAGAGCTGAGCCAGGCTGAAGCCAGAGGCCAGGAACTTGTACAACAGGGTCCCAACAACTGAGTGATCTTCTGATCTTTCCTCAGGCACATTGGCAGGGAGCTGGAGCAGAAGCGGAGCGGCTGGGATTCAAACTGGCAACCATACAGGATGTTGACATTGCAGGCAGCAGTTTTATGTACTGTGTCACAGTGCCAGCCACCTCCCCCCCCAGTAAACTTTTTGGAGTCTGCTCACTGGTATTGCCATGGGGGAGGTTAAGAATAGAAAGTTGTTAATTACAACACTTTTGGCTAATTTTCAAAAGTATAGCAGGAAGTGCCAAGCTGCAGGCCCAGAGAGAAGTCTTGACTTACACTGAGTAGTGTCCTGACTCAATGGAGAATCGGCATTACTTATTTCCTTTTCCAGTCTTACTTCTTAAAGTCCCTAGTCCAACCTGCCAAGCATTTGTGATTCTGGAGTTGATCAGTTTCTAGCACAAACATCCCCTCAGAAGTTGAAGAGACTGGTCAGTCTTTACCTTATAGCATGAAGCTACTGCTCAGTCCTGACATGACCAGCAGGTGACAAGTTTCCTAGTGCTTC